ACTGATGAAGCCTTTCGGATCGAAGGTGAAACGTTTCAGCACAAAAAAAGAAACTGTCCAGATGACCTGACTGAAAAATGTTGGGCACCCTGTTCAGTGTTTCCTCTAGGAATTATTTTAACCATGGTGGTGGGCTTCCTGCGGGGTGTGGTAGGGCACACTGGGGGAGGGGAGTCTGGGGGTCCTCCCCCAGAAAATTTTGAATAAAATAGATGCCATTTCCTGCATTCTTGTGTATTTTAATGGGTTGTTAAACATCTACGTTGACCTACATAAGTAAACACTTGTTTCAATAATTATGTTAGAGACATCAACAAAATTCAGTCAGGTTCTCTGGACAGATTAAAAAAATTGTTGAAATTATTGATCTTGCATCAGGATATTATAGACACACTTCGTTCAACTAGTAAATGGAATGGTAAATGGACTGTACTTAAATAGTGCCTTTCTATCTTATCGAGATACTCGCGTATACATGGTGAAATCATAAGCTGCAGCTCCAACTAGTCCATATATGCATCATCCTGTTTGGAAACTCACTCCAATGACTAAGATCTGAGGTACTAATGTGAAACAATTCATCACAATGACTTTAGGGGTGCACTTGACTTTTATTTCTTTAATTTTTAATATATTTTTATTTTTTAACACATAGGACTTGGCAATATACCGATATTTTAAAAATATCAAGATGATTTAAAACCCGATATAAAATGAGACTATATCGATATAAAACAATATAGTTTTATACTCTGCATAAATTATAAATCCAGCAGTTTTTCTCCTTTTCTGTGGGGTCATTCACACGTCGTGTATTTTGAGTGAATCCACTCCTTTCTCTCTGCAGTTCTGCTTTTCATTTACACGACACCAGTGACCACCCTCTTTGAATCCAGAGGTTTCTGAACCCACCTTCCAGAGTGGAGGTTTTTCGCTGATCGCTTGCTGACTCCCGCTAAGGCTTTGTGTTAAACCACATGCGCACACTCACGCGTGGGCAGACGGCATATTTCTATCAGCATGGCGGTGACACACTGCTTTTTGAAGTACAAAGTGCTGTGACCGACATCTGTGTTGGAAGACAGTCTGATCCAGTTCTATTATTGCTGTTTATAAAACGAACCTGTCGAGGCAGGCGCACACGTTGCGCTGCACTATAACATACTTAAATGTGCTAAATAATAAGTTTAATAATAATAAACAGTGTTTATGTTAAGTGTGAGATATATAAAGAAGTTCATGATCTATCCATTCTCTTCCACTTATCCGAGGTCGGGTCACGGGTGTAGCAGCTTAAGTAGGGAGGCACATACTTCCCTCTCCCCAGCTGCTTGGGCCAGCTCCTCCAAGGGAATCCCAAGGCGTTCCCAGGCCAGCCGAGAAACATAGTCCCTCCAACGTGTCCTGGGTCTCCTCCCGGTGGGACGTGCCCGGAACACCTCACCAGGGAGGCGTCCAGGAGGCATCCTAACCAGATGCCCGAGCCACCTCAACTGGCTTCTCTCGACGTGGAGAAGCAGCGGCTCTACTCTGAGTTTAAAAAAGTTAAATCTGGTCCTCTGGACATTAAAGAAAAAACAAAACAAAGCAAATCAACAAAAAATGTAGAAACGTTTCGTCTCTCATCCGAGAGACTTCTTCAGTCTGAGGAGCTGTATTCAGCTCAGTCTCTTAAATAGCACCGTC